GTTCACAAAGAGAACAAAAACTCACCATTATATTGCAATATACTAACCAAGGCTATATAAATATTTTGTAGTCATAAAAAAAATCCCAATCAAAATAACATTTGTAATATAATATGCCTCCTTCCACCTGTCATATCACCAATATATTTAAAGGGACATTATTGGCACCAAAACAACCTTACCTTGATAAGGCTGTTTTGGTGCAAATATCAAGCCCCTGCCGTCTCGTTCAATTATTTGCCACTTAGTTAAATCACTTTGTTTGTACAGCCATAGTCACACCTCCCTGCATGTGACTTGCACAGCCTTCCTAAACACTTCCTGTAAAGAGAGTTCTAATGCTTAAACTTCCTTTGTTTGCACATTCATTTTATTTAGAATTTATTATCTTTGGCTCTCTTTATAGCCTTCTAGAGCCCGAGCCCCCTCTGTATGATTAAAGTTCAATTTACAGAGCAGGAGATACAAACTTCTACAGCAAGTAAACATATGTTGAAAATTAAACCACTTTGTTCATGGAGGCTGTGTCAGTCAGAGCCAGGAGGTATGGCTACAGCTGCATATACGTTCATTTCCCGACGCCATCAACTAGGTATATAAAGCCAAGAAGATTTACCACAACATTAGACCGACTGAGGAAGCTCCCATAGGGGCGAAACGCGTATCGGCACTGGTATAGAAGCTACCAAAGTACCATTTGGACTTTTATAGTATATTGGACTTATTTTTATTTGGACTTTATTTTTGGGTCTGACCACTGACAGTACTCATATACAGATATCCAGTATATATCTTTTTATCTGCCCATGCACATAGATATATGTGCTTATTTCACCAATAAAGAATTGTTTACCTCTGAGAAGACAACTTTTCATCTATTACTTCCGCTAATTCCATCAGGAAGCAGGATTGGGGACATCCTTAAAAAGTCCTCTTGTGCAACTCATGAGAGCCTTATGATCTTATTTGGCTCCACGTTTGTGAGTATGGATATTGATCCTATATTATCCACTTTACTTCTACGATATTACCCTATGTGATATTCTTTCCACAGATTTGCTTAAAGTGTTCCACCTACTGTATGTATTTATATTTTGATATTTAGAGTGGTATAAGGGGTTCCCACTCAGGTGGTTTATAGCACTTGTTGCTAACACTTTTTCCCACTTATTGTGTATTGTATTTCTTTATTCAAATTTTATCTCTACCTACTTAAATGTGAAGTTGTTAACCATACAATTTGCGGTTGGCAGGTTAGTTTTAAAAATGGAAAAACAAAAAAGGTCATGACAAGGAGTGGAACCTGGTGTCACAAAGTACAGCTATGGTTTGCTTATATTTTAGAAAAGATCAGAGCTATATCACAGTTATATAAGGTGAGGCTTTTCATTTTCTGTAGTTTTAACCCTACAATGTAAAACATGCAGGTTTGTAGAAACTGCAGTGTTTATAATATTGCTGGGTTAAATACACCTCTAGTGGCTGTCTTCCAGACGGCAACTAGAGGCGCTTCCTCTACAACAAAGTTGCAGCTCATAAAAACACTGAATTCAACGCTTTCATACGAGATCCATATGACTTGATATGCACGCATGTGCCGCTCACCATGCAAGTCCATCATGTTCTCATTGCTTCTCTATGTGAGAAATGGCTTATACAAACGCCTTGGATCCAATACCTCCACGATGATGTCGTGGGAGGCTTAACGGCACCGAACCAAAGGCGCTGGAGAAAAGTTAGGTACAACCTTTATTTTACAAATGATTCTTACACACAGGGAATGTCTACTAATCTAAATACAGACAGGGGCACTATAGCGTTATAAAAACCTGTATTCCTAATGCAATAGTGTTACTTTAAGTGGGGATTTGCTTTAACATAATATAATACTTTTTTGATTTACTTTTTGTTGTGTTTCCCTAGAGGTATACAGACTAGCATAACATAACATATATAGACATCAAACACACCAAATGAAGGGTCTTGTGTCACGTATGTACGTGTATCAACCAGATATAATAATGCTGACAAAATAATATATTTGAAGGGCAGCTTGAATAAATTATGCAAATTGACAAGAACAAATTATACGCATGCATCAATTAAGAAATGAATAAAAGATTTATTTATACAATCAAAAGTGAAAGGTTTTAACAAAATCCTACCTAGATACCTGACAAGTTGTTTACATGTTACCTCTTTAAAGGGATACTATAAGTGCCAGGAATACAAAGCTCTATCCCTGGCACTATAGCTCCTACTGCCTCCCCACTCCTTTGCACCCCCTGCCATGTTGAATAAAGGGTTAAGAACCCTTAATTTACTTGCCTGATCACATCACCGATGCGCAGCGAGTTCCACACGCATATTAGGCCTCCCTATAGAAAGCATTGAATCAATATTTTTGTATGGGGGAAATAGCTGACGCTGGAAGTAGAGTGTGAGGATGTCCAGCATCAGTTCCTGGACCAAAACTCTGGTAACATTGTGGAAGCGCCTCTAGTGCTGTCTTAGTGCTGCAATGTAAAGTTGCAGTTTTTCTATAATAGGGACACTGACCCAGAGCACTTCAATGAGCTGAAGTGGTCTGGGTGCCTGGGTACTGTGTAGATAATGGCTGCTATTGTAAGAAGATCATGAACACAGACCATGGTAAGAGATCTTTGAGAGCGAGGTGACCCGTAGGACTAAAAGACAGAGGACTCCTGTTGCCACAGCATCAACACCATTTATGTGTATGTGCATATATATATTTGTATATATATATATATTTGTATATATATATATATATATATATATATATATATATATATACATACATACTCACATTTGAAGTTCCTGTGTGAACTGTAAATCCACAAGCTGTGCAGGATCTACAGTGAGCTCACACCAAATCAGGAAGTGACTCGGCCAATCATGATGTTCACTCAAAGCAGCACTTTCACTTCTGAGTTTTCCACGAAGATAGCATTTTTATGAAGACAATGTGAGACAAGATCCTGGCAGAAGTCATCAGGAGTGGAAGACAGGAAACGTAAAATGAATTAGTGTCAAAGCTGTGGACTGGCCTACTTAAATACAATTATGTATTGAGGATATTATCCCTATTCAATGTCTGACACACAAGTTTATTTAAGCAGTGCCCTCATTACCTCTTTTTTGTGCAAGTCAAAAGTATCTTGCAGAATATATTGATGCTTTACAAATCAAGTACTAATGAAATGTAAACATAGAATTTGTTGAAAACCTGTGGCACTTTTAGGAACACCAATTTAATTTATGTTTGGTTTCTTTTTTCAAAATGTACATTGTGTCATTACTCAGACACAGCACTGTTTTCATTTGCAAACCTACACCTATGACCCCCAAATCCCTTCATTAAGAAGGAATAATTTTGGTGCTTAGATTATCCTTTTAAGATGTTGAATGACAAATCCCATAATCTAGTGTCCCATACCCATATGATCTAACGCAGACTACTGAACCATCTGGGAATGTATTTAAATAGTGAAATTCATTTTGTAAGTGTATTCATTTTGTAAAATTATGTTAAAGGTGGAAAAATAGTCAAGTTGTGGAACGTTAGCTTAAAATTCTGCTCTCGATTCACCATAACCTATTGTTTAGTTACCAAACCACATAAAGGGGGTCAGCGTAGCCCAGGTTAAATTAACAGTTATATCTGGTTTACAAGCTATTAGACAGTTCACCGAACTCATTGGTGTTACAAGCCTCCCCCTTTAAATCACCTGTCACCCTCCCATAGACAGGCTGAGTGATGTGTCTGTCATTACAGACTAACTCACACTCTGCTTGAAATCTCACAAACAAGTTGGTTAATGTTTGCCAGACAGAATTCAGCATAAACGGAGACATCTGCCACGTGTGACGGATGGAATCGTATCCCATGCGCTTAGTCTGACTTCCATGAGACAAACCGCACATGGAATCGGTTTCTGATGCTCATCGTCACTACAAGAGATGAACGTTTAGTGTTTTCAAGATTTCAAAGACTTGTCAGACATGTTTGTGGTGCAAACAATATGTGCCACATAAACAAAATCTGGGCCTGTCCTCTTATTACCCTCCAAGATTTAGAGAAGGTTAACTCTAACACTGCTAGCTCAAATTGAGGCCTACATAAAACAATTGGAAATCCCTTAACCTCTTGGTTCTGGGCCTAAGGGAAATAACTAAAACCACTGTAATTGCTGGCATTGAACTAGGAAGCAATCACCAGCAAAAATATGTTGGGTAAACTGCTGCACAAAGCTAATTGCAAATACTTAGATCAGGAGTATATTCCGTTGTTTGTTTTTCCATTAACGCCTGTGTCTGACGTCGCAAATGATCTTCTATTAGTAAAGTAATAACAGTTCTTTAAATAGGGACAAATAGACAGGGCCGGATTAACATAGGGGCTGATGGAGCATTTTTTTTACACACTACTCTTAGGTTTGCCACCGGACTGGTATTTTACTGGCACAGCCGGTATTTGAGGCTGCCTGGTCGTGCCGGTATTGCAGTAATACCGGCAATACAAATGCAGGTCATTTTCTCAGAATAAATGGAAATTACTCTGCAATACCAGCACCTGCCATTAGAGGTCACTGTGTGTGGAGAGAGGCAGGGATAGGAAGTTACAGAATATCCCTGCCTCTCTCTACTACTCACTGATCCGTGAGGGAGCAGCAATACAGCAAAGAGAGTCCAGACAGCAGCTCTACAGCTCAGGTAAGTGAGGGATGGGGGGAAAGGCAGCAGGGACACATGGGGACACTGAGACACTAGGGGACATATGGGGACACTGAGACACTAGGGGACACATGGGGACACAGACACTAGGGGACACTGAGACACTAAGACACAGACACTGGGAGACCTGGGAACACAGACACTTGGGGACACTGGAAAACATGTGGGCACTGAGACACTAGGGGACATATGGGGACACTGTGACACTAGGGGACACAGACACTAGGGGACACTGAGACACTAGGTCACATGGGGACACAGACACTGGGAGACACTGAGACACTTGGGGACACTGGAAAACATGGGGACAGTGTCCCCATGTCTCCCAGTGTCTGTGTTCCTAGTGTCTCAGTGTGCCTCGTGTCCCCATGTCTCCCAGTGTCCCTAAATGTCCCAGTGTCCCCATGTCTATGTCCACAACTGTCCCCATGTCTCCCAGTGTCCCCAAGTGTCTGTCTCCCAGCCAGTGTCCCCTAGTCTCCCAATGTTCCCTAGTCTCCCAGTGTCCCCTACTCTCCCAGTGTCTGTGTTCCCATGTCTCCGTGTCCCTAGTGTCATAGTGTCCCCAAATGTTTCAGTGTCCCCATGTCTCCCAGTGTCTGTGTCCCCATTTCTCCCAGTTTCCCTAAATGTCTGTGTCCCTAGTGTCTGTGTCCCCATTTCTCCCAGTGTCCCCATGTCTCCCAGTGTCTCCGGGTCTCTGTGTCCCCGGGTCTCTCAGTGTCCCCAGTATCCTAGTTACATGGGGACACACTGAGACATTGGGACACTGGGAGAAATGGGGACACAGACACTAGGAGACTAGGGGACTGGGCGACATAGGGACACTGACACTGTGATACATAGGGACCCTGAGACACTGGGTGACTTACGAGACTGAGACACTGGGAGACAGGGAGACACTGGGAGCAATCCATCTATACAGCAGAATCAAACTGTGAGTAGTTTGTGATTTTACAGAATTTTCTCTGCTGTCACTCCTTGTGATTTACATCATGTGATGTCACACATAACTAATTAATTATACAAATGATTAAGGCTGGTATTTTTTTCCAAGAAAGGTGGCAACCGTAACTACTCTTCACACACTCTTGCTTAAAGGAGCACTATAGGGTCAGTAACACAATCATGTATTCCTGACCCTATTGTGTTAAAACCACCATCTAGCCCCTCTGGCCCATTTGCCTCCCTAAATATAGAAAAATATTACTTGTATTCAAGTCTGCAGCTGCTGGCTCAGAAGTGGTGGTTTGAGCAAATTACAATACAGGGAGTGCAGAATTATTAGGCAAATGAGTATTTTGACCACATCATCCTCTTTATGCATGTTGTCTTACTCCAAGCTGTATAGGCTCGAAAGCCTACTACCAATTAAGCATATTAGGTGATGTGCATCTCTGTAATGAGAAGGGGTGTGGTCTAATGACATCAACACCCTATATCAGGTGTGCATAATTATTAGGCAACTTCCTTTCCTTTGGCAAAATGGGTCAAAAGAAGGAATTGACAGGCTCAGAAAAGTCAAAAATAGTGAGATATCTTGCAGAGGGATGCAGCACTCTTAAAATTGCAAAGCTTCTGAAGCGTGATCATCGAACAATCAAGCGTTTCATTCAAATAGTCAACAGGGTCGCAAGAAGCGTGTGGAAAAACCAAGGCGCAAAATAACTGCCCATGAACTGAGAAAAGTCAAGCGTGCAGCTGCCACGATGCCACTTGCCACCAGTTTGGCCATATTTCAGAGCTGCAACATCACTGGAGTGCCCAAAAGCACAAGGTGTGCAATACTCAGAGACATGGCCAAGGTAAGAAAGGCTGAAAGACGACCACCACTGAACAAGACACACAAGCTGAAACGTCAAGACTGGGCCAAGAAATATCTCAAGACTGATTTTTCTAAGGTTTTATGGACTGATGAAATGAGAGTGAGTCTTGATGGGCCAGATGGATGGGCCCGTGGCTGGATTGGTAAAGGGCAGAGAGCTCCAGTCCGACTCAGACGCCAGCAAGGTGGAGGTGGAGTACTGGTTTGGGCTGGTATCATCAAAGATGAGCTTGTGGGGCCTTTTCGGGTTGAGGATGGAGTCAAGCTCAACTCCCAGTCCTACTGCCAGTTCCTGGAAGACACCTTCTTCAAGCAGTGGTACAGGAAGAAGTCTGCATCCTTCAAGAAAAACATGATTTTCATGCAGGACAATGCTCCATCACACGCGTCCAAGTACTCCACAGCGTGGCTGGCAAGAAAGGGTATAAAAGAAGAAAATCTAATGACATGGCCTCCTAGTTCACCTGATCTGAACCCCATTGAGAACCTGTGGTCCATCATCAAATGTGAGATTTACAAGGAGGGAAACCAGTACACCTCTCTGAACAGTGTCTGGGAGGCTGTGGTTGCTGCTGCACGCAATGTTGATGGTGAACAGATCAAAACACTGACAGAATCCATGGATGGCAGGTTTTTGAGTGTCCTTGCAAAGAAAGGTGGCTATATTGGTCACTGATTTGTTTTGTTTTGTTTTTGAATGTCAGAAATGTATATTTGTGAATGTTGAGATGTTATATTGGTTTCACTGGTAATAATAAATAATTGAAATGGGTATATATTTGTTTTTTGTTAAGTTGCCTAATAATTATGCACAGTAATAGTCACCCGCACACACAGATATCCCCCTAACATAGCTAAAACTAAAAACAAACTAAAAACTACTTCCAAAAATATTCAGCTTTGATATTAATGAGTTTTTTGGGTTCATTGAGAACATGGTTGTTGTTCAATAATAAAATTAATCCTCAAAAATACAACTTGCCTAATAATTCTGCACTCCCTGTACTTCCCCATAGGATTGGCTGAGACTGTCAACTAGGCAGATCAGGGGCAGAGCCAGCACAAGTCCAACATAGCCCTGGCCAATCAGCATCTCCTCATAAAGATAAATTGAATCAATGCATCTCTATGAGGAAAGTTCAGTATCTGCATGCAGAGTGTGGAGACACTGAATGGCAGTGCTGCACACTAGGCAGTACTGCCCCAGGAAGCACCTCTAGCAGCCATCTCAGGAGCGGCCAGTGGAGTTATTTTCTCTGAAAAGACAATGTTTACTGCAAAAACCCTGAATGGAATGATTCTACTTACCAGAACAAATGCAATAATCTGTAGTTGTTCTGGTAACTATAGTGTCCCTTTAAGTTTGGAAGAGGGATGTATGGGAACAAAACTTGTGTGGACTGGCTGACATTAAAATTAGTTTAGGTAATGCAGACATTGGTCTTTCTAACACTGTGGCATGTCCCCTTTCTTCTACACTCACTACATACACCTTTTCTCTGTCTCAGACTATATACCAGGAACTTCTGCCTGCTAGTAAGAGGGTAAGGAGACAAGTTGACCAGCGAGTGCTAGGGGTAAGTCCTTAGAAAGCATGGAGTGAGCGCATTATTAGACGCATTTATGTCAAGCTCAAGGTGCTGCCTGCATAGTATGCCCTTAGTTGGACAGCCTGCAGGATTGGCAGGCAGCCTGACATGCATTCATGCCAGGCTGACCTTCCAATTCTTTGGACAAACATGCCCCCTTTTTTGGCAGGTCTTGTCACGTGATTCACGCCAGTGGCACACCCTTTTACCCCGCCCATTGACTTCCTGCTTCACTGGACACTGCTGTTAGGGGTTATGGATTTACTTGAAAGATGAAAGCATAACTTAGAGAGAAATTAGCATAGAGTATGAAGCCCATGGAACAGCACAGTCAGGGGAGTGGGCCTTGACAGAGCCAAGGAGTAGGCAGGTGGAGTTAAAGAATTAGGGGTGGGTATTAGGAATGAGGTGTAAAAAGGGGTGGAGTAGATAGGAGTATATTAAGCAGCCATTTTAGCAAGTGGCCATTTTAATCAGAATCTGCACTTACCTGTAATT